AGATCTACAGAACAGTTCAGTAAGGACATGTTAATTTCATACCTGTGGTTCTGTGGATCTGAACCCCCCACAAAAATTACCCTTAATGAATAAAAAAATTATGTTAAAAATGTTAATTAATTAAGGATTAATGGTTTAAAGTTGGAAATAGTGGAAATGGTTACCCATGAGTCATGGGTGTGTAGTTTTGTTGAGAACAAAATGGTCAAAAAAAATCCCTGCCACATGTCTGAGACTTTGTTTCACAATATTTATAATTAAATATAATCTTTAAGCATAACTACTGTTTTACTATCATTACATTACATGGAAAACATGAATATATATATATGTACAAACACACACACCATCTACACTGCTTATCCTTCTGGGTCGCGGGGAGATGCTGGAGCCCATCCCAGCTGTCATTGGGTGCAAGGCAGGATACACCCTGGATAGGTCTATGTATGTATATATATATATATATATATATATATATATATATATACATACATATATATATATATATATATATATATATATATATATATATATGTATATATATATATATATATATATATATGTATGTATGTATATATAAAAATAAATATATATATATATATATATATATATTTTTTTTTATCTATATAGATAGATAGATAGATGAAAGTAAATCATAATAAAACAGCATATCATCCCAATCCGAAAAACTAAACAAAACATTTAGCTCCATTTTTTTCTATTTTTTTTATTTTCCTACATAATAGTAGCTGTCTTTTTCATCATGGCAAAATTCTATGTTGAACTGTTGAACAGAAATGGTCCAAAATTTCTTGTAAAAAAATCTCCTTACATTGACTTACATCAAAACTAAAGGATGTTTTTGCCTTCTCCTGTAAAGTTACCATTTAAGAGATACTTCAGCCGATCATGTGGTGCGGTGCAATGCACGAAATTACACAGACACAGGATTAATTGAGTCAAGGGCTTCAGTTAGTATTCACATCAAACATCAGATTGGAAAAAAAAACGTGATCTAAGTGACTTTGCCCAAGGGTTGCCACACATGCAGGGTGGCAAGAACAATGAAGACTGCTTTGCATTTTCTGGAACTCATTATTTGCTTAGTTCAGATTAGCCTCAACACAGGGACAGTTATTTGGGGAAGGTGCACTGCTGGTGATGTTTAGGCAATAAAGCGATAACTGAGAAGATTACGTTCTGTAGCTGACTGCTGACTACTATTTACCCTACACCGAATTGTGAGCATAGCTACCCAACCACTGAATTAAGCAAAAAATTAAGCCAGGAATTTTACAGGGCTGAGGTGGCAACCCTACTTTGACCGTGGCATGGTTGTTGGTGCCAGATGGAGTGGTCTAAGTAATTCAGAAACTGCTGACCTCCTGAGATTTTTACACATAACAGTCTCTAGATTTTACACAGCATTGCATCCACATCCACTGAGCGGCAGTTCTGTGGGTGGAAATGCCTGATTGATGAGAGAGGTCAGAGGAGAATGGCCTGACTCTCTGATCATGTGACACATCGAATCTTGATGTAGATGGGCTATAAGAGCAGAAGACCACATCAGGTTTTACTCTTATGAATATGCAAATGACAGAGTCAGCGTTCTGCCTGGTTCAGGCTGGTGGTGCTGGTACAGTGGTGGTGGGGAATGGAGGGTTTGTTTTGGCGTGTAAATGGTCATGTATTACCAACCAAGTATCATTTGAATGCTACAACCTGTCTGAGTATTGTTGCTGACTCTTTGTGTCTCTTTATGGCCACAATTTAGAAATGATGTTCCTAATAAAGTGGCTGGTCAACATATATATTAGGATATGTAAGAATAGCATGGTATTCATGACTCATCAATAAGTAGCAAGGGGTCCAATCAAGATGTTAACACGATGCCTGTAGATACCCCACTGGTGGACTGTCATGTTAACAATCCTAACAAACCTACATTCATTCAAAAGCGCTATCGTTTTACTGATCCCTTTGTACCTCAGAGACTCTGCAAAGCCTGTCAAAAATATCACTGAGATACAAGGTGGAAAAAAATGAACAATCTGAATTCACAGCCCACCTCTGCCATCTGGCACCACTTCAGAAGAGTTTATCTCCGCCTACCACTCTTGAAGTTCCCCCAGAACACTCCAAACTTCAGAGAAAAACACTCTCTCCTTCAGTCTACAGCTCTACCCATGGGGCCAGGCGCGTAACCGAAAGGACAAAACAGGCAGAGCGGAGAGGAGACGTGACATTTTATCAAATCATTAATAAAAGAGAGACGCCCTGATACGCTTGTGAAGATTGAATAAGTAATTACACTTTCATAACTTCATAATGACTTAGGGGGAATAAGCTTCAACCAGAGATAATTAGGACACACAATGACTTTGGGGAGGGAGGGGTAGGGGGGATCAAGAGAGAAAAAAGGAATGAGAGTGTCAGAGACGGTGGAAAATAGATAGGAGAGAAAGAAAAAGAGATGTGGATGTTAGAGAATATGAAATTTCACACCGTGAAATCCACCATAACACCCTTTACTCAACAAATGCACCAGCATGGCAAGATTTCAAGATTGAAATATCCCTTCCCGTATTTTATTTTTTCTTTTGAGCTCCCTTTGTGATGTCGGTGTGGGTTTATGTACCAAAAGCAGTCCTAATTCATTTTAACATTACCATTTACTGTAGGGCAATATTCATAAGGCTATATGTCACTAAACCTTCATAAACAAACATTTTTAACTTCTTATTCCAAAAGGCTTAATTTATCATATAAAGGTTACATTTGCCAACTCTGATGTCAAGGTGACAATGACAGCTAAGTAAGGTGTCATTGATTTATTTGTGACATTACGTTGTGTTATGAAACATTTTGGGGTTAAATGACAGACTTTGTAGCTCACTGTATGACACAATAACATAGTGCTGATAATATGGCATACATTATATGGCCAAATGTTTCACACCTGTATATTGTTGGACAAGCATTCCAAAACCATGTGCATTAATATGAAGTTGGCCCCTCCTTAACAGCCTCCACTCTTCTGCAAAGCCTTTCCACAAGATGTTACGTGTGTCTGTGGGAATTTGTGAGGTCAGACACTGATGTTGGACAAGAAGTGTTGACCTTCCAAATCATCCCAAAGATGTTCAGTGGGGTTGAGGTCAGGGCTTTGTGCAATCCTTCCTCACTTTGTGCACAGGGAACAGGAAAGGGCCTTCCCCAAACACAAAGTTAGAAGGATGTAATTGTCTAAAATGTCTTTGTACACATTAACATAACCCTTCACCGGAACTATAGGGCCCAAACCCTGCAAAACAGCCCCAGACCATAAAACCTCCTCCACCAAACTTTACTGTTGGCACTATGCATTCTAGTAGGGAGCGTTCTCCTGGTGTCCACCAAACCCAGATGTGTCTATCAACCTGCCAGATAAGTAAAGTGTGCTCCAGAGTCCAGTGATGGCATACTTCACACCACTCCAGTCGACACCTGGTATTGCACATAGTTATCTTTGGCTTGTGTGCAGCTGCTCAGCCAATGGACACCATTTCATGAAACTCCCGACACACAGTTCTTGTGCTGATGTTGCTTACAGAGGCAGTTTGGAACTCTAGTGAGTGATACAACAGAGGGTATGCAATTTTTACATTATCCAGCACTCAGCGCCCCGACTCTGGAATTTGCTTGGTGGCTGAGCTGGTGTTGCTCCTAGATACATCCTTTTTCACTATAATAGCGCTTACAATAGACCATGGTCTAGCAAGGCTGAAATTTTAGAAACTGACTGGTGGCAAAGGTGGTATCATATGACAGTGCCATGTTAAAAGTCACTGAGCGCTACAGTACAATCCATTCCACTGCCCATGTTTGTCTATGGAGATTGCATGGCTATGTGATTGATTTTACCCACCTTTTAGCAATGGGTGTGGCTGACACCTGAACTCTTGACATATAGTGACATATAGTGTCACCAAGTCAGGCTGGTTGAACAAAAGTGAGCATTTTCTGTGTCCCTTAGGTAAGGCAAGTTTCATTTTACCACGTAAGGCCAGAGTATTCTGACACAACAAAGTTGAACAAACACTAACATGGCACTGTTTGCAGTTGTTTTTAAAAAGTTCAGGAAACTCACAAGCAAAATGAACTAGAGTGAATAGGAAGAGAATATACCAGAATCTTTCAACAACTACACAGTTGTGGTTGTGTTTAAAAGATTTTGGCTTTGGTATGTCATCAGAATTATGTTACTGTGATATTACTCATATTATTCATTGTGCCCTGTATTGCGCCTCACTCACAGAGCAATCTGGGTTAAAAGACTCCTTGTGAATTTAATATGAATTGGCAGATTGTATGTTAATGTTTTGGTTTATGCGACATCACAAACTCAATACTGGCTGTTTTTTGCAGCTTAATTTCCATTTACAGACTGGGCAGTGAATGCTAGGTTGGAACTTTAACAGGGTGTACATACTACATCAATCTTTTTCAATAAGGTGAAGAAAAAACATGTTTTTTTTTTTTTCCATGATATATGCCCTTTAACAATGGTAGCAAATCCCATTACCGAAGCCATTCTACTGGCGTCTCTAAAAAAACTACTTTAAAAGCTTCACGACTGGATCAAGCTGCCAGACATTTGTCTTGAGTGCTGCTTTAAATTCAAGAGTGCTGGATGTGGCATTCTCAGACAACCCACACAACACAGTTTAATTTCTTTTCCTTTATCACCATCTGAAAACATGTAGCCCATTGGTCTTGTTTGACTAACTGGCTGGTTGTTAATGATTACAAAACAGCGATGTGATACTGACCTTTGCCCGTTGAAACACAGATGTTTTCTTTCAAATTGAACAGTTGCGGCCTGCTGAATGGGAAAGTTATTTTTATGATAATGAGACTGAAGAAAACCCGCCAGAACTAGACACAACTCTGTCAGGTTTTTATTCATCATCTTTTTTTAGATGATGTTCTATGATTATATACATATCTTACAAAACCACTTACAATATACAAACTGAACAAAAGAAAGTTGAAGACTGTGGGACAGTGTATTTCCATAGTAACGGCAGAAGTTTGATAGCGTCAGGAGCTGCATTACTCAACAGGCAACTCTCCTAGTAGCTCATCAAGATCATCTGCAAGACACACAGACAGGTAAATATGCATCAGAAATGATTATATAGTCAGTATAAAATATGTCAAAGATACCAATATTCTGTACATTTTTATAGCTTCTTGTATTATACAGCCAATTGACAAATCAAATGGAAAAAACCCCATGTGTCTTAGTATGGTGTTGGGCTACTACAAGCAACCAGAACAAAGCTGCGCCTTGTCAGATTCCAAAAGTCTGTAGAACGGTACTGGAAGGATGGAACACCATTTTTCCAAAATATATTCCCCTTAGTTGGTGTTTTAATAATGGTGGCAGTGGAGAGCACTAACACATCAGTCTAAAATCTCCCACAGCTGTTCAACTAGGTTAAAATCTGGTGACTCAAGTCCATAGCATATGATTCACATCGTTTTCATACTCATCTAACCATTCAGTAATCAGTTAGAATAACTTTGTATTGATTAGGATAACTTTATGTTGATGGGGTACAAGTGGACCCAAACCACGCCAGCAAAATGCCCCTCCTCTGTATGACAGAGCCACACGACCCTGTAGAGAACATGTGAAGGATGACTCATCTGATTTCATTCCACATACCTGTAAGACCAGTGGCTGTGGTTTCTGCACCACTGAACTGTCAGACATGTATTTCTTTTTGTAATGAGGGGTTTAAGAACTGCAGCCCTACCATAATATCCCTCTCTGTGAACAGATTGCTCTTGCAGACAGTCAGATCATGCCCTGCAATGACATTCTCGATCACCTAACAGCTCGTCCTAGCTGCTCCTTTCTCTTTCCTTACATATCAATGTGTGCAATCGACCACAATTTCCAACTCATGTTTTTCCCACTGATCTAAATGCAACTGTCACTTTAGTCACTGTTCCTATTAAGACACTAGCCACGCTTGGTGACTGAAATCCCTGCCATCTGTGCCTCAACAATAAACCATCATTCAATCTTTTACCCTTGTCATCTTGATCCAGAATCAAGGTCAGCTGGGCCTGCTCAGTATATTAAAGCCACAGAGCATGGTTGGATGTAAAAGAACTTAGCTGTATCATGCTGTACACCTGCCTGGAAGCATCTGAACTCGTCATGGTTCTTCACTCATTTGTCCAGGTTTTTCCTTTTCTTTTGATGCTAAAGACTCTGCACTTTCCTTCAGGATTACTTAAGTTCCTAACTCTCCATCTATCCATATAGTGATAAATAAGGACTTAATCCTCACACATATCATTTAATCAAAGCACTGGAGTCATATCCAGCACCGCAGGAGAGAAACACAATGTTTTTATGAACATCTTCTCAGTTTGTGATGTGAACAGAGCTGGGCCTGCACGAATTATAGCCTGATTTTGACCTCAAACTTCAGACGAAAGTTCTGAAGACAATCTGAAGTGATTTTCCAGGTTGGTATCGCCATTGGAAAGAACTGACTGCGCAGATAATCTGGTAGTATGAGAAGGGAAATGAGTCAAACTTTGTCTTTTGGAATGAGCTCCAGAGTGATGAGAGGCCCTCTGGTATTGTCAAACGTTACATTTCTACTTTCTCACAATTATCCAAATCAAAACACTAATTAAACGAGCAGGTATATTTTCAGTTTGGGATACAATATGCTCAATTTCTTGATGGTGCTGAAACTTATCACCATACCTGATCCCCACAGGGCCTCCTCTGTGGCCTCTGGCCCTGAAGGCTGGACCACCATGTTAGCAGAAGATGCAGGGTTAGCTGGGTTGGCGCTCTGATCTCCCTCTTCCTCATCATCGTCATAATGCAGCTCCATCTGAGACACAGGGACCCCTATGGGCCTAGAGGACTCACACTGTGGCAATCCAACAGCATCCTAGACATACATACAACAAAGAAAAACACTGCTGAAGAAGTGGTGTTTTCAGTACTGGAGCACGACACTGACATGAAAGTAAGGCAGGGCGAGATTGCAAAACACATAAAATCATGAAAAAAATCCACGACTGCTGAAGTGCGAACAGGCAAAATACACCTGCGAAACAGTACTGCCAGCTGAAATCTAATAAAATTTAAAGATTTTTTTTTTCCAAACATTAAGTTTTCATAAACTAAGAAGGAACAGGATGAAAGATCAAACAGGTGTTAGAAATCAAGTAAAATAATAGCATAATGGGCTGACATTCGTGGACCTAGCATGGAGTTTGTGTTATTTACAGACACTCTACAAATGATGCAAACATAGATCTAAATCTTTTTTTTGGATCCATGCAAGCGCTGACGTTGTGTAAAATGTAAACAAAAGCAGAATGCAATGATTTGCAAATCATTTAATATATTCATATATTAATATAAATCATATATTAAATTCACAAAAATTTTAACGTTAAAACCGAGAATTTCTTTTGTTTTTTGAAAAATATATGCCCATTTTGAATTTGATGCCTGCAATGTGTTTCAAAAAAGACAGGAGCAACAAAGTAAAGACAGGGAGGCGTTCACCACTCTGTGTAAGACTGCGTTAAATAGCAAAGAATTTGGGGAATTCATCATCATCTCGGAACATAGTATCATTAAAAGATTCAGAGAATCAGGAGAAATCTGTGCATGCGAGGGACAAGGCCAAAAACCAATATTGGCTGGCTGAGATGTTCCATACCTCAGGTGGCACTGCGTTAAAATACACAATATTGTACTGGAAATCATTGCCTGGGCTCAGGAACACTTCCAAAAACCACTGTACGTGAACAAAGTTTGTCACTACATCCATAAATTCAAGTTAAAACTCTACCATTCAAAGAAGAAACCATATATAAACAGGATCCAGAAACACCCACTGGAGTGACATTAATGCTGAATGATTTATGCAGGTTTTGGAGCGACATATGCTGCCTTCCAGACGATGTCTTTCAGGGAAGGCCTTGGATTATTTCAGCAAAACAATTCCAAACCACATTCTGCACGTATTACAACAGCATGGCTCTGTTTTAAAAGAGTCTGGGTGCTAAATTGGTTTGCCTGCAGTCCAGTCCTGTTACCCACTGAAAGCATTTGCCGCATTATGAATAAAAAAATATGACAAAAGAGACCCCATACTGTTGAGTGGCTGAAATCCTATATTTAAAAGAATGGAACATTTTCACTTTCAAAACTACAGCAATTGGTCTTTTCAGTTCACAAACACTTGGAGTATTATTAGAAGAAGGGGTGATGCAACACTGCCCCTGTCCTAACAATTCTGAAACACGTTGCTGCCATCAAATTCAAAATAGGCATATATTTTTCAAAAAAACAATACAATTTCTCAGTTTCAACATTTGATATGCTGTCTTTCTACTATTTTCAATTAAATACAGAGTTTAAATGATTTGCATCATTGCATTCTGTTTTTATTTACATTTTGCACAGCGCCCCAACGTTTTTGGAAACAAGGTTGTACTTAGAAAAACATATTGTGATGCAATTAATCAATAAGTCATATAGTGACATTGCCCACCCCCACATTAAATTATTGAAACTCATAAATAAACAAAAATATAAATTAAACACTGCCACATACCAGCACTGGCTGTGCAAGCTGGGAGGAGGAGGGGAGGGCTCCATCAGGTGGGTAGATTTTGAGCAAATTGTTGGGAGTAACATTCAGGTAGTGGTTCCGGTGAGAAGGTGAGAACACACCCACCTGTGCAGAGAGAGAAAAGCATTAAAGAGGGATCTAAAGTCGCTCAACAATCCCTCTCCATTATAGATAAACAGAATTCACAAACATGTGTCTAACACCAGCTTTGAATTAGAATTTAATCACACTAAAATGAAACTGGGTGCAATTTTAACCAATATTTTTCTTTCAACTGTGCTTTAGTTTGGCCGCTACATAAACATGCAGAACTCGCTATCTTTTCTTTCTCTGTAGTGCTCTGCACTGCAATGGCAAAATATTTTTAAAGCAATAAACCCTGCAGACTGTGTCTACTGTGGCTAGTCTGCTCCGGCACTGCACCAGTCTGATTTCAAAAATGAAATACTGTCTAAATGTCTGAATGTAGAAGCTAAGGGAAAATGTAAACGCGCTGTGTCATGTTTGAATGATGACCCGATTTCCACAATCGCATCACGGTGATTGCATGTTAAGGCAAAAAAGCGTAAAAAAGGTCATGCTTTAATGCTGAAAAGTGAAAATGTCAGCACGGGACAATTCTGGTTTGCAGCATTTAGGTACAGTAATGCTATCTTGGCTGAATATTGCAGCAATGTTACAGCAATGGTACCTGTTTTGTTCGCTGCAGTCAGTCATGCGGTATGTCTCTGCTCGCTACAGGTGGGCGTTTCTATGTTGTTATGGAAAAAAACTTCCGTATTGAACCTATCTGAGGCAGCAAGCAATCTAATAAGCTATTTGCTGTTGAGCAAATGAGACCAAAATAAACGTACGCTTTATATGCTTTTATAATTTTCAGAATGCATTAGTCATCCCTTAAAGCTAGTAAGCTCACTCCACCACACTAGCAAGCAGTCTAACTTAGCAAGTAACCTTCAAACTCCATGTAGTTTAAATTTTGCCTTCCTTATCCAGTCGAATGTCTTACCTTCCAAATCTTCACTGTCAGTTTTGTCTGTATGAAACCAAACATGATTATTATGTGAAACTGTCATGGATTCAAAGACGAAAAAGAGATCCACTCCAAACTGTTGCCACAAAATTGGAAGCATATAACTGTCTAAAATGACTTTTTATGCTGTAGCATTAACGTTACCCTTTACTGGAACTAAGGTGCCCAAACCCTAAAAACAGCCCCAGATCATTATCCCTCCTCCACCAAACGTTTCTGTTGGCACTATGCATTTCGGTAGGTAACATTCTCCTGGTATCCACTAAACCTATACTCGCCCATCAGACTGCCAGATAGTAGGATTCACCACTCCAGAGAACAGGTTTCCACTGCTCCACAGTCCAGTAGCAGCATACTTCACTGACACTTGGCATTGTGCATTTTGATCTTAGGTTTGTTGTGCAGCTGCTCAGCCATTGAAAACCACTTCATGAGGCCTCTGATGCACAGTTCTTTTGCTGATGTTGCTTCCAGAGGCAGAAGATGGGTGCTGTGTGCTACAGCACTCGGCGGCCCTGCTCTGCGAGTTTGCATGGTCTACCACTTCATGGTTTAACTGTTGTTGCTCCTAGACACTTACATTTCACAATAATAGCACTTACGGTTGACCTGGCCAGATCTAGCAGGACAGAAATTTCACTTGTGGCAAAAGTGGGATCCTATGACAGTGCTACTTGTAAAGTCACTGAGCTCTTCAGTATTATCCATGTTACTGCCAGTGTTTGTCTACAGAGATTGAAAGGCAACGTGCTTGATTTTATCCACCCGTTAGCAATGGGTATGAAACACCTGCGCTCAAAAACTAGGAAGAATATTGACATACTTTTGCCACAGTGTATAGTCAGATCTCCATAATAAGTCAGTAATTGAGTGAGTCTGAATAGTGGCGACAATACTTGTTTAAGAAGCAGCACAGCACCAGTCTTCAGCTCTCCCTGTCTGTCCTCCAGCAAACGACGGTGAACAGTGCCCTGTATCTCACCTAGAGATTAAAGGGAGATTTATATTATGTGTGAATATATACAGAGAGAATAAAAGAGCAAGTGAGTCCAGTCACTAGTCATGCGGAGATGGTGGGGGAAAAAATTTGTATTAAAACAGACGAAGAGTTGAGACACAAATAGAGCATTCCAGTAGGTGTGCTGTACAGAGTTAAGTGTTGATGTATGTGAAGGAAAACAGAGTGACCTCAAACAGTACAAAGGGCGTGAAGAACACTCATTTTGCTGCTGTCAAAAGGAAACCTTGAAAATATTCTTTTACAATTTTTCATATGCAGAAAACTGACAGTCTACTTCATATGTCGGCATGTGTAAGCAGCTGTCCGTAGGACTTCTGCTGCCTTCATAAGCTTTTATTTGGTGCTATTTCCCATCCCAAAAGTTGTAATTAAAAGGTTTTTGTTGCACATTAACTAGCTTATTTTATCTGTTTTGTTATATCTTTCCAACATTTTCTCAAATTCTAAAAATGTACATAATACGGCCAGTGTTACAGATGTTAGTATGTCGGATGTCAGATGTATGTAATTATTATGAATGCATATTTTTAGAAAGGTATATAAGGGCTACCTGATTAAGAATATTTTTGTTATCACAATATGAGAGTCTGTGAGGGACATATTGTTAACCGCTGAGATGACAGAACGGATTACATAGAGATAGCTCAAAACTGATGTAATGCAGTGTTAGAAGCAGGGTCTAACTGAGCCAGAGACAATAACGTTTGTGAGTCTTTTGTGTGTGTGTGTGTGTGTGTTTGAGTGTATGTGTATGTTTCAGTAGTGGCATGAAAACATGGAACAGTATTTTAATAAAGCTCTTAAACCCATGTTAAACCTAAATCTTTAAAAAAAAATTGCAAGTATTATTTTTACAAGTTGGAATTTAAGGGTTTGGGTTTGGGACAACAGGTAGTACAATATAAATGATTTTGTATATATTTAAGTTTATTACTATCTCTATTATTGCCTTGGGTTCAAATAGAACTTGTAAATATCTGAAGGTCTGAATATACGTATTTTTTTTAAATATATGTTTTCAAATAAGTGCACAAAAAACATGCATGCAGATGTCATTATTTTTATTTTGCACAATAGTGAATTCTGTAATTTTGCTATTTTTACTCAAAGAAACACTATTTCAAAAATAGTATGTTGCATGTTATGTCCACATTGCACAGCCTAATGCATGTGCCTTACCTGTGGGGTCTCTGAACACTGCTTTGCCATCAGCATGTGTGTGTAAGATACTCTTTAAAACCACAGCCATGTTAGGAACCTTATTCTTCGCCAACTGCCGCAGAGCAGCCTGAGAAAAGAAAGGGTGATAATGAAGGCCACAGCACATATTAAAGGAAGAAGAAAGAAAAACAGTGAAAACAAGTAAGAACCAATGAGACGAGGCCCAGAGCCACTGAAAGGCTAATGAACTAACTCTGCATTCATCACCCTGATGAATAATTAACATGCGTCTGCCATTAGCGGCAGTTCGTTATGGCACGTCGAAAAAACACATTAAAATTATAATGGCTGCATTAGCACGACTGATGACGTTTGTGATAATCACTATTAGTGTAAGGGCTGCTCATCAGTCCTGATTATAGTCCGGGACCGCCTCTGTACACATGAATTAAAAAACAGCAACATTTTTTTCTAGAATCAGACAGGAGAGCCCATGGCAATACGCCCCAATAACCGTGGGGGAAATAAGCATTGCGTACAATAGAAGATGAATTGGAAGTGCAGAAGTCTGATACACTTATCGTTCAACAAAGTAAAACATGGTTAAAATATTCTGCTCACTTTCCGCAGCACCATGACGATGCTGTAGGAATGCAGGAAACAGGAAGGGTTCCTCTCATCCAATCCCATCTCAGCCTTCATCGCTGCCCACGGACCCCCACTGAACTCTTCTTCCTCACTCACTTGGGACCTGGGGACCTGCACATAAACGTACTCACTAAGACTGAAGTGCATTTCCCTGCCCTCATAATACTAATTACATAAGAATTACTATAAATTAAACACATACAATAGTATGCAGAAGTCTGAACAAATCCTGGTCAAATTACATGTTTTACTGATTTCCTAAGTGAAAATAAATCAACACATACTCTACAGGGAACAAATGTAAATATGGCATTTTACCTACAAATTAATTGCACAATTTATATTTATTTGTTGACTAACATATTGGGAAAAATGTGTGTGTGGCACGTCAGCTGTTTTGCTCTACCAAAGACAGACATTTCAATATACACACAGCCAGACAATGGGAAGAGAGTGTGGAAGCCCACGAAATTTGTTATTGTTCTTGGCCAAGTGTAAACAATGGCAAGAGCTTACATTTATTTTATGCTTTTAATTATGCTTTATATATGCATATGTGCATAACAGTAATGGCTGATTATTGCTGCTCCTGTGAGGTAAAGTTAAATCACAGTGGTCAGACAAGGTTCACTTACGGTTATTGTAAGTTGTATTATTGCAATTTTTTATAATGTCATTTTAATCCCCTCCGCCTTCACACACATAAATAAAAATACTGAAAAAACCTTCATCCTATTCTTTTTACTGCTATTAAGCAAAGTCAATGTTATTGCAGACTAAATTTAAGTTAATTCTCCTCTACATGTTTTGGTGCCTTTTCAGTTGATTTCAGTGAAGTTTGCAATAAGTGGGAATGTTCTTTTTATGACATTGTTGAGGATTTTTGTAGTTAACAAGTACTAGACTACTCTGAGATGGTCCTAAATCAAATTACAGTCACAGCCACAGATAAGAGCTATGACAAAAACACAAAAAAAAAGTTAAGAATCGCTGAAGCAGCCGGTTTTGACTATGCCTGGGAAGACACGATGGTCATGACAGTCTTAAGAGCTTTGATAATCCAACCCGTCATTCACTTTAGTTATCTGTCCCACTATTTCTCTGGAAAATAAATGCAATGATTGTTTTGATAGATAATGTATTTCAAATTTGAATACTACACAAACCAACAAGGGGAAAAATCTGAATTTGATCTCTGACCTCATCTGACAGCCCTACTACAGCTACAGTGTATTCAATATTCAAAGGAATGAAGCTGTAGTTAGCTTTGAGCTAACACCCAAGGCATCATGAAAGAGAGACCACCCATACTGGGGCACCCCAAACACTTGTAAAGCTGTATCAACTGAACCACTATCTCAAGTATACCAATAACCATTTGCAGGCATTTCATTTTAAGTCATACTAGGCACTATACAAATGTACTTGCTGGTTTCTACAGACGTAGTTGTTTGTGTCTTTAGTTATGCATTTCAGCTATGAAAAGTAATTAAAGATTATACCCCACCACTTACCACTCAATCATCGCAGGGTAAAAGTCTATTTGTATGGACTAAGCTGTATACGGAGAGAGAGGATGTTTCTGTGTGTGCGTTTCTGTTTTGTCTCACCTCATTTTGCAGGCGAGCCACAGCTCCATGCGCTGGCGTCTGCGGCACGGTCACAACAATGTCATCTAGATTCCGTCCACTGATCTGTGGGATGAGAAAAAAGATAGAAACGCAGAAAAACAAATAAAGGCATCTTTACAAACAAAATGATTTAACTGAGATAACAATTCAATAACCCTTTTTCCAAGATACTGAACTGGCTGTTTGCAGGCAAAATGTTTACATGACACCAATACTGGTTTGCAGTTCAGATAAAAATGTTTAACAAAATAGATAGTGCAGCCACTCAAAGTAGAAGCAACTAAAGCCCTGTTTGAGCTGGATTCGTTTTACTTACAGAGGTGATGAAATGACAAGATCTATGATATTAATGCAGGATGAACCTGCAGTATTAAAATCACTCCACAATAATTGGCCAGTCAAATACTGCATTACAGAAACCTCCTCTGGCAAAACTAATCCAGCTCAATTAGTACTAGTCTGATCTATATTGCTACCGAGTTAATATATACAGCTAGTGTTATTGCCATTGAGTCCTGTGGCGTAACGTTGAAAGCCATCAGTAAAAGATCATCCACACAGGATCTGTCTGAACTGGAAAAATGACATATAATTAATCCTCTATAAATCGGCTAGTCACATTACATTACACAATCTCCTCTGGTCAAACTAACCCAGCTTCAATAGCGCTGCCCTAGTGTGAGCTGAAGCACATGTTTACCTGCTGTGGCAAAGCCCCTGCCGGTCCAGGAAAGCGCCGCGTTTTGGATCGAACTGCATCACTCCGTGGCCTCTGAGGCGTCTTGCTGGCTGCAGACACCAGCTGGACCAAGTGATTGGTCAGGACAGGTGTGTTGAGGGGGCGGGGTGTACGAGTCTGCGATGGGGCAGGAGATATAGCCTGAAACAAGGACTTTTGGTGGCCCTGTGAAGCTCTTGGGGTAACTACCCCTCTCTGCCCTTCACCTGATGCTCTCACAGGCCCTGGACTGGAGAACTGGCAGACTGAAGAGTTCCTCACAAAGGGCTGGCATGGACTCGGAGGGGGACCTGCACAATATATTGTCTGTTAATCATGAATGCACATATTGAATGCACAAAAGCCTACAATATGCAGATGAGCCCTGTAATCAATCACTAGATAATTTTAATGCACATTGTGTCGACCAAATATCAAACTTTTCAGGTGAGTTTTCTGTGTTTTAATGATGTCATGCATTCAGGTGATACAACAAGCCAATAACAAAGTAATTCAGCCAATTCCTTAACCAAGGGTAATAAAGGGTTCACTGATGTGTTTCAGAGCTTTACTCTTGGCTTTTTTATGCACTTGTCCTTTGGACGATCCACATTTTCCTTTTATACATATTTTTAAAAGTCACTTTTTCAAATAAAGATCATATGCAACACTGGAAAATGATTGCAGTGTTGAATTAGCTCACTGAAAGTCACATATGAAATGATTTGTCATATTTTTAGCAACTTTCTTTTTGCCTGTATTGTCTTTAAGATGATAAATACTGTTTGTTACACAGTGTCCTTCTTTACTACTAACTTATCACTAACGCAGCTTAAACTTATTCACTGTTTGTAACCAATGCCTCTACGACGCAGGAGAATAAGCAGCTTAGATAATGTATGTGTGTGTGTGTGTGTGTGTATGTGTGTGTATAACCAGTGCACACGTCATGGTGCAGAACTCAGCTTGGAACAATCACCAAAACCTATCTATGCTACACCGGGACATCTAAATTCAAGTTAAAATAAATATTCTTAAAAGGGCCTCTATCCTGCATCACTGTTGTATTTTATTATGTCCACTTATAACTAATAGTGAAGTTTAATGTACCAAGATCAACCATAAATCATTTTATATGAGCATCTTCCAACTTCTTTGTATTCCTTAAACTTAAACAGGCTGCCTCACTCAAAAAGCAGTTAGTACTCTTTATAACTTCAGTATGAATCGGCAGAGCTAAACTGCTGTAGGCTTATAAAGATAAAAAAAGTGACTTCAAAACAGTCTGCTTTTGCAGCTTTGTTTCCATACGCAGACTGTATGGACTGGGGATGTTTTGAAACTTTAACTACATTTACATATATCAAACTATTCTATTTCAAAAACATGAGGCAAACTTATTTTTCCATGATATGAGCCCTCCCAGCAAAAAAGATGAGCGCTCCCATAGAGGGTTGTGCATTACCTTGTGGAGCAAATGTGGAGGGACCAGGGGTCCTGATAAACGACTGCGGGGGTCTAGATGTTGGAGCACTGCTGCAAAAGCCTCTGAGAGAAGATACAACTGAAGTATCCTCTGCTACAGCTGATGATTTCATCCTTTTAGCTGGGGAGATGCTGTCTGTGTCAGGAGCAGGCCCAGAGGCCTTCTGAAAAAGATTCTCGTCCAACTCCTCCAGATCCACATCCCACTCATCGAAGTCATCCTGAGGGGGAGCGCTGTGAACTGCAGGTGGAGGGTTTGATTGGGCAGAAGGAGACTGCAGAGAAGAAACAATGCAGGAGCCTCCCAAAGGTGCTCGAAGAGAAGTGGTGGGTTTGTGAGGGTCAGAAGGACAGTGAGATGAGGAGTTTGGGTTGGAGAGGCTTCTTAAACCTTTAACAACGCTTGGTTCTTGAAGACCGAGTGGCGCCAAAGAGCCTGTCTCTGAACTACTGTTCAAAGAGCTGGTTGATAGACTAGGGGAGCTCTGCTGTGCATTGTGGGTACTGAAGGTGGCTGATTCTTTCAATGGTGCAGAGGCAGGGGCTGCAGAACTTCCGGTCACAGAGGGGTTTTCTGGTGCATGTGTCCAATCAGCTTCCAGCAAGTCCTACAATACACCAAAACACAAAAAGATACCACTGAAACTGGCTATACATTTAAATCAGGCTAGGGCTACTTGAACTTACAGATTAGTAAGATTTATAAGGGCAACTATTTAAATGGACAATCCCCCAGACAGCATGGACAGAAACACTAAATAACAATAACCTACCACATGGCTGTGCCTACGGTGTTATTCTATTAACGTGAGGTGGATTACAACAGAACTACCATTACTGAGGGCTTTTAGGTGCATCCAATAACAGAAGACCATTCACTCTATTTTAGTATTACTGGTATGACTGTAAAAACTACACACCGCAGAATCATACTGGATTAAAATCACAGATCTTGTCAGTAATCACTTAAAGAACCTCACCAGGTATATCTAATCCAGTTCCAATACGGCTTAAGTGAAACAGTCAGTGGTTCTTAGCTTCAATCTAAACAGTGTGATCATACACCACTAAAACATTTACATTGAAATCTATTTATTATACTTCCCACAATAAACTGAAATGTGAAACCACACATCTTACAGTGTCTACTGAGGTAGAAGTACTTAAGCTCAGATGACACAGGCTAGATAAGGTTCATTTAAGTTCAGATAAAGCCAATCCAGAGAAAGATCTAACACACAATTATCATAATAAGCTAAAATGAATCAGGTGAGTCAATCTCAAATGGCTCCTCACTGTGGCACATTATTTTTATTATCATTATTACTATTATTATTACTATTATTGCTAAATTTCCTTCGGGATCAATAAAGTAAAGTATCTATCTATGTATTTTTATTATTATTGATAATAATAATGATGATAATTTACCATCCAAATAGTGGCTTAAAATGTCCAAGAGATAGATTTAGGATCCTACCAAGCCTCCCTATTGAACAGCTATTGCACTATGCACTATTTGATTGATACTTTACTTTCGTGACTTATGTAGTGCACTATATAGGGGGTAGGGAACAATCTGAGATCCGGCCCTGGAGACAATCAGAGCAGTTAGTGTTTCCCCAAATACTGATCCTGAACTCTCTCCGTCTGCATATGTACTAACTGCTCTAAAAGACCTCAGTCAGCTCATCAGCTCACAACCAAACACATAAAGAAGTTAAAATCGGGATCAAGGAGACAACAAATTGTGTAGTGCAGTGATCACCAACCCTGGATCTTGAGATCTACTTTCTATGCCCAGTTACAATATGACACGCCTGCTCCATCTAAATAACCATGATTAATGAACCATAGACATGAGTACAGCATGTTATGAAAGTCAGAACTAATCTCTGGAGGAACGGAGAGCTCCAGGAGGAGGGCTGGTGACCATTGATGTAGAACAGTGGTCAATAACCCTCATCCTGGAGATCCACTTTCCTGCACAGTTTAGTTCAACTGCATCCAACACGCTGCTGCTCCTTCCTACCCAACACAAAGCACCTGACCCAGCCAATCAAGGACTTCTGAAGAAGCTAATGAGTTTGACAAGGCGTGGCAGATTTTGGTTGGAACTAGATTCCACAGGAAGGTAGATCTCCATGACCAGGGTTGGTGACCACTGGTGTAGAACAAGGACAGTCCACAGAGTCCAGTCCTGGAGGGCTGGTATCCAGCAGTTTGGTGGTGTCCCTATTCAAACACACTGACTACATCTGGCAATTGACAGATGATTGTAATCAGGTGCGTTTAAGCAGGTAAATCACTGAACTGTGCTGTACACCAGCCCTCCTGGACTGGACTTGTGCAGCCCTGGTCCAGAACCCGGACTGACAAACTGTGCTGGAGGACAAAAAACACACTTAAACATGTAGTAGTGCATTCTTTCATGTCTAGAGCTGGAGCATCATGCACTCTCAGCTAAAACCAAAACCTCCAATCCAAAATAAACACACCTCATCATCGAAATCTTCTCCAACGCTGAAAAGTCCGCCCCACTTCTTGTCGCAAGCCTAAAAGGAAGACGGTAAAAAGCGGAAACAAACATAAAAACATCAGTACGAAGTCACATTTCTGAAATGTCGTGTCTCTAATCGGCCTGTTGGCTCCGTTAGCTGACATTAATGCAACCAAAGGCCGAGGAAAAAACACTGCTAGCCAGTAAACGCCTCACCGTGGTCGTCATATCTGTACACCTCGCTCTAGACTTCAGTGTGAAGGAAACAGGCGGGATGTAACGCTTATGAACGAGTCTTTACACTTCTACACCTCTACATCTCTGCGATACAGCAACAAAACCTCCTCCAGATGAGAACAACACGGCTGACTTCTCTCCTCGGCGCCGCCACGTTCAAACAGTGTGACGTAGTGCGCCGACGACGGTCAGGTCTGGTCACTGCTGCTGCCTCCTGGTGGCCGCGAGCTGGTACTGCATGTAGCGGGTGAGCTCGTCTGCCCAAACGCTGATTTTGTGGCTCGTTTATTTACTTATTATACAAAAAATACTATCTGATTATAATTGTATTTCATCCGTTAGACTCCGGCTGTTAAATACAGGAGATTTAAATAGAGAAAATAATCCTCAGAACTTCCCTGTAACGCCATGTTAAAACTGCTTACTTTCAAAAGGGCAAAAGGGGCGATAATAGGGCAGTAATATTTGTATAATAGCGCAAATAATATAGCATGCTATCACATAATACAAAGACCTGGACAGCCTAAAGTGTTTGGCCCGTGCGAAAATGTAAAGTTACCGTAAGTCCATAAAATAACATTTTAATTTCTTACTTTTTTAAAAGTTGAACTCTTGCAACAGAATATAGTGTCAAATTTTTTAAAATGTGAATTTTTCACCACAAGCATTGTACTTTAGGTACCCCTAGCATCAACCCTCCAAAACACAAATGCCATAGATTTTTACAGGCCCCTAGTTTTAGTTTACACCAAGATTTCAGGAACAGAACATTTCTTTTATTAATATTGGATTTTTATGGAAACCTCAAATCTGACATGGGAACACTTGTATTATTCACTTTGAATTTTAATTTATAGACAAGTATTAATTATCATATCCTATTATTCACTACTAGTTTCACTTACATTTTGAACTCCTTCAGCATCAATAGCACTTATTGATCTACCATGGTATATGCTTAGAAATTTTCAAAACCCTGCACGAGTCAATGCCTTGTAATGAGACATAAGCAGACACACCCCAGCTGCCTATTTTGTATAGAAATTGGGAAACAGTTTTAACAGGAAGAATATTCCATATTCAGCAATATTCTGGTGGTTTCCACACATTTCTGATTGTAGGGCACTCAGTTACAGACAGACCACCCCATTCTGCAGAGACCAGCACTGACAAAACAATAGTATGCACAGTATTAAATCCAGATTAAATTGATGTTTATGAAACTGTACCACGATTGATTAGTTGAACATCCAGTTCAGACAGTTTGCAGTTCTTTTTGGCATATCAGGACTCTCTGATTTTATGTGCTAAACTCCTGAGAAAACACCTAAATATTTCAGCATAAGGTAAATAATCCCTGTAAATTGAAATAAGCAACAACTTGACAAAATCCACAGAACTTTTATTTCTGTCTCATTGTTAATACAGTGGAACCCAGAATTGTTCAAATAAACAACTCTAGAACTTCTGGAACTGCTTCTTGGCTCCTGCTGCCTTGGTGACTTTCAGGACGTTGAACCTCACTGTCTTGCTGAGGGGTCTGCACTCTCCAACAGTGACAATGTCACCCACAGTCACATCCCTGGAAGAGACGGGCAAAGAAAAGAATCTGTAAAATCTGTGCAAGGACCACGGAAGTCCAGGCTAACCTCCAATAGCAAAAATAAAAGTTACACAGTAGCATCACCACAGCTGATGCATCATGTTTGCATTTGCTATCATACAGCCCTAACACCTGAAAATGCAACACTACTAAAAAGTAAAGCAGAATTTTAAAAATATTGAAAGTAAAGGTATTTGAATGTGTCACAATTCCTGGGACTGAGACACTGAATAACAAGTTACATGCAGATAAATTACAAAACTCTCCCACCAAAAGGACATCATGACTGAAAAAAAGCTGCATCAGTAATGCCATTAGGCGATGTCGTCAGAGCCTCAAAGACTTGGAAGACCATCGTGAGAAAAAACATCATAAGCAGCTTTTTTCAGCAATATTTGTAGGTCACTAAAATCAACAGAAACCTGTTAAGTCACAGGAAGAAAAATGAAATAAGGCTTAGCATTTTACCTGAAGCAGGGAGAGAGGTGGACAGACATGTTCTTGTGTCTCTTCTCGAAACGGTTGTACTTGCGGATGTAGTGCAGATAGTCCCTTCTGATGACGATGGTCCTCTGCATCTTCATTTTGGTCACCACACCTTCAGAGTGGAGTTACAGCAAATTAATCGATCTTAATTACAAATTAAAAACTACTCTGAAAGTGCTTCACTAATACCAGCTTAGAGTGCGGTGCTCGCTACAGGATTACAGCCAAACTGAAAACCAATGCTTAGAACACAAACACTTGATACAGGAGGCATCAGTAAAGCCATAAGGCACTGTCGTCAAAACCCCAAGGGCTTGGAAGACCATCGTGAGAATAGACATCATTTGCATCCCAGTAAAAACCACACTGAACAAGCAAATGCTTAAACATTCAATGTTGAGCATGAAACATTAACTTACCGGACAGAATACGGCCTCTGATGGACACATTTCCAGTAAAGGGGCATTTTTTGTCAATGTAAGTGCCTTCAATAGCCTGTGGAAGTCAACCACAAAGTAAACAGATTAGATAACATAACTTTATGCAACACTGCACTGTCCAAAAGTATTAACAAGATCTCCAAAAACTGCATCAGTAAAGCCATGAGGCACTGTCCTCAAGGCCACATAGGCTCAGAAGACCATCGTGAGAATAGACATCACATGCAGTCTGGAGACACAGCTGCAGAGTGGCGCTCACCTCTCTGGGGGTTTTGAAGCCCAAGCCAACGTTTCTGTGGTAACGTGGGAGCTTTTCCTTGGTACCTCCTTCGGTTACCAAAACTCGCTTCTTGTTCTGGAAGATGGTGGGCTGCTTCTGGTAGGCCCTTTCATTCTGCCAAAAAGAAAAGACAATTCATTACCCATGGCCATCACAGTTTGAGAGCAGGCCAGCAAGAGTGACCATTAAATATGGGACTGCATCAGTGAAGCCGTAAAGGCGCTGTCGTCAAAGCAACAAGGGCTTGGAAGACCATCGTGAGAAAAACATCATCTGCAGTTGAAATCATTATAATTCCTCCCCATTAAGCAGACCTACTAGATACCAGGTAGATCACTTTAAGGACACTATGAAAAAAGATCTACTGCGATTTCTACAGGATTCCTATGAGAACCTTAAATTCTGAGCATTGCTAAAGCTCATCACAGAAAAACTCACATTAAAACCATTTACACTGCTCAAGTATTAGAAAGGTTTTGTTTATAGAAGTGCCAAAAATGGCTTGTTAATGGTTGTATACAGTTCTATATATGACTTTTTTGGAACTGGTTCCATATAGCACCAAAAAAGGGTTCATCTATTGTTACAAGCTTGACATGGGAACAAATTAAGAACCCTTTTCGGTGCTAGACAGAACCATATACAACACATCCATCAACCGGTCAGAATACGGCCTCTGATGGACACATTTCCAGTAAAAGGGCATTTTTTAATCAATGTAAGTGCCTTCAACAGCCTGTGGAAGTCAACCACAAAGTGAACAGATTAGATAACATAACTTATTGCATTTAAGCATGAAAGGGCTCTATTGAGAACCATTCCCCTTACTGAAGAGCCCCTGAAGAACCACCTTTTGTAGTGCAACTCAGTACATTAGTATTGATAGCACGATATTACGGTAGCTGTTTATGCACGAGGGAAACTGTGCACGTATTCTGAGACGTACAAGGTAAAAAAACACGACAAAATGTTAAGGTAAATTCGTGTTTGAGTGAAAAAAGGAGGTTCACTGCTTTTTATTACGTCACCCAGAACAGTCTACGAGCCTACGAGCCATGTGGCGGCGAGCTAAGAGTGAGCAATGAACAATGACGCCCTATGAACGCAGCAATTCAGCGTTTAAAGTAAGATGAAGGTCTTATACTGAAATATGGAGCTGATAAACTGGGAATGACCTCCGGGAGGTAACCGTTAATCGTTACTGCAGCTGCGGGCCCTAAACACGCCGAGTTTCCGCTCGCCGACAACGACGAGACCTAAAGTTCACGAAATACACACATCCGGCTCCTATAAACCACCGGAACCACCCATATACCCGTTCATAACTTCTTATTTGTCGAAAAAGCTGAGAATAACCAAGAGATTAGAGCTAAATGAGCCTTTTTTCATCACCACGCCGCTTCCCTGAAAATACCTGGGTATCGGACATCTTGGCCAGACGAGTCGTAAAGAGGACTACGCATGCGCGAGGCAGCGGGAAGAAGAGTACGGAACGGATGTGATGTAAAACGAGGGCGGTGCTTTCAGCTTCCAGCTGTTTTATATTTTTGGGTGATCCTGCAGCTTCTGGCTCGTCCCGCATCATAACTCTTATTATTTCATATTAAGAGAATTGCTATGCCGTTATTGTGTGATATCTCATTATTTTGAGACGTCATTATTTTGTAATACCATCTCATTGTTTTGAGGGAAGTCATCGTTTTAAATTACCTCATTTTAAGATACTGTCTCATTATTTTGAGATACTAAGTCTTTATTTTGAGACACTATTTCATTATTTTCAGATATTTAGAGGTCATTATTTTGAGGTACAATCTCATTGTTTTGAGAAGCTAAGTCATTATTTTGAGATGCTTTCTCCTTATTTTGAGATAAGTCATTGTTTTAAGATACTACCTCATTATTTTGAGATACTATCTCATTATTTTGAGATACTAAGTCATGATTTTGAGATACTGTCTCATTATTTTCAGATAATATCTCATTATTTTGAGATACTAAGTCATTATTTTGAGACACTTTCATTATTTTCAGATATTTAGTCATTATTTTGAGGTACTATCTCATTATTTTTAGATGCTAAGTCATTATTTTGAGACACTATTTCATTATTTTCAGATATTTAGTCATTGTTTTAAGATACTATTTCATTATTTTGAGATACTAAGTCATGATTTTGAGATACTGTCTCATTATTTTCAGATATCTCATTATTTTGAGATACTAAGTCATTATTTTGAGACACTATTTCATTATTTTCAGATATTTAGTCATTATTTTGAGGTACTATCTCATTATTTTGAGATGCTAAGTCATTATTTTGAGACACTATTTCATTATTTTCAGATATTTAGTCATTATTTTGAGGTACTATCTCATTATTTTGAGATACTAAGTCATTATTTTGAGACACTATTTCATTAATTTGAGAAGTCATTATTTTGAGATACTGTTTCATTATTTTGAGGCACCAAATCATTATTTTAAGATACTATCTCATTATTTTGAGATACTAAGTCATGATTTTGAGATACTGTCTCATTATTTTGAGATACTATCTCATTAATTTGAGATAGGTCATTATTATGAGATACTGTCTCATTATATTGAGAAACTTGCTCTTTATTCTGAGACGCTTTCTCGTTAGATGGTGTTTCAAAATAATGACTTAGTATCTCAAAATACTAAACTAGTATTTGAAAACAATGACTTAATATCTCCAAATACTGAGCTAGTATCTCAAAATAATGACATAAAAATTGATTATGAATAAAAATTACGTGCTGGATTTTTTATTTTAAGTGGCAGTAATGGCCTTCCATAGCTGGCTTAGGTCTGGAAATATTGAGATACATCTGGTTGATAAAATGGCTGTATAGGTTGGCCTTTTCTTGGAGTAGAAAAATATAGAATTTCTAGTGAATATTTTGATTATCATGCAAATAATTTATACACGAGTGTCGATGTACTGAGGTGATTCCCCAACTAAACCTTCATAACATCTATGGAAGATAGATGTTCATTTGTTGTATAAGTGTCTGAAAAGTGTGGAAAAACAAGACAGCCTGAAGTCAGTTAACTTTCATTTACCAGTTTTTGGTGATTGACGAAGACCTTCGTTAAGCTGCCTTTTATTTTATTTGTTTGTTTATTTGGTTGGTTGGTTTCCCATCACAGCTATCGTTTTACTGTTCGACATGGTGGTCTTTCAGTGCTCTGTTTACAGTTTATCCCTTGTGTGTCTGCACACTGACCTGCAAATTAAAAAAATGTATAGATAATGGCAGTTTTGATTGTCCAGATGTTTAAAAAACAGTTCAAATGTCTTCAACTTGATGTGTGCTTACAACAACAGAGTACTGAGGGAAGGACATGCTGCGGTAAACCCATTTTCCCTGTTTTTAGCACAAATGAGAAATATATCTCCTTTCCAAAAACACTGACCAAGTTATCTAATATTTATATATTATATTAGTCAAACAAACCTAGTTTTGACTAAAGCATAAATAATTTACTCAAAGACTGCATGGACAACAGTGTGGGGAAACCTAACCTAACCAGGTATTTCTGTATTTACAGAAAAGCAAAGTAAATATCATGTGTTCGTACTTATTTTTATGCATTTGAAGATTGAAATCACAGGTGAGGGATGTGTATAAAACTGGCATTTAGACCCAAAATATACTTCATAAATGAGCTCAGTACAGCTTCAAAGTGTTTACCGTCAACAATATAAGTAGAATTCATAAGTGTGTAATAATTCATAATAATACTTAAATCTTACTGCAGTAACTATTTTTGCAGTGGATCTAATTTCTACAGCCCAGCACAGATGACTCTTATTGCTTCTTATTCTTTGCTAATTTTATGCACTTTATTTTCTGTTGGGGCTTTTTTTACTTTCCTTTCTTTTTTCATCATTAAACAATTAATTTCCAACCTGTTAAAAAAACATAAAATCCTGAAGACGCATTTGCCCAAAAAATAAAACATGAAATCTTTGAACTAAAGTGGAGTGTAAGTGGTGACTCTGAAGTGAAAATCACTTTAAATAAAATGTATTTTCCTTGTGTTCATTTCACTTTTTATTTTCAAACCCAGACTATTGAAAATACAGTGATTTGTTTATAATCGTGTGAAGGATTAATTATGGCTCGGATAAAGGCCTACTTCTTTAGAATGTACACGCGTTTGGCCAGCAGATGGCGCCAGTCTGCGATGTTTCGAGCGTTTAGGAACTAAATCATTTTTCCACACGATCGGCTCAGTTGATTCGAAGCTTTAGAAGGCCTCGTTTCTCTGATCTATGTCTGCTTTCACTCCTGCTGTTACGAAAAAGAAACCGTCCCTGTTCCTGACCGTTTGTTCTCCACCCTCAGTTCTCCACCCACATAAAGCTCCTTATTAGAGCGAATCTGTTCCTGTAACAACTGGTTGGTAAAGTGTAGTGGGCAACACCTTTGCTTTGTTGTTCGATCCCCCTACTTGGGCAAGACTCTTAACACTACCTTTGCCTATCTGTGTAAAATGATTAAATTGTAAGCTGCTCTGAATAAGAGTGTCTGCCATAAATGTCATGTAAATATAATTATGACTTGCTTGCAGTATTTTAATGCTAATATGGTGAGGTGTATTTAGAAAAGTAGTTTTATAAAAGAAGGCAAAAACACTCTTAACGTTGAGTATAAGCTGATGTCTGAAGTTCCAAGTATCTAGGAGTTCCCTGTGTGCTCTGTTTGTGCAGGGGATAGGAATGTGAACGAGGGGGGCCTCTGGGTCCATAGCCCCTTAATTTAAAGGTCCAGAGGAAGGGGGCCTCTTACTTTCTCCCTACTTCTTCTCTTAGGTCCAAATAGATGAGGTCATGTTAAAAAGAACCATATGCTCTGTCTCCTGTTTCAACTACAAGAACCATATATATATGCTGTTGGTCATTCTGTTCGGGGGAGGACATTTAGAATTGGCACGGATCCTCTCTCAGGTGCTTTATAGTGCTTGATATGATGCTGTTTTACTATGTAATAAATCTTTTGCTAGCAACTCAGTATCGGCGGAGTTTTTCTTCACAACATCTAAACACCATCGCCACTAAATAAACAACAATGGCCACACAGGGAGAAGGCAATACTGATAAGTGGACAGGCATCATGAGCTTTTATGCAACTGCTTTGATAGAAAGGACAAGACTTTTTTTTCATTGTCTAAAATAATATAATTGAGAATAAGCTATAAACCATTGCAACATACCGGGCAAAAAAAAATCTGATTATATATATATATATATATATATATATATATATATATATATATATATATATATATATATATATATGCTTTTGTTCAAACAGTTATGAAGTTACAAGAAAACAGTTATGAAACAGGTATCAAGTTATACTGTAACCTACTGATTCCAGGTACATTTGATGGCATCCTAATGGGATCTTATAGTGTCCTACAGACAACGAGTGGTCTCTAATGAAACCCATTAAGCCAGTTCCCCTTTATATAGCAAAACCACCAGGTTTTAATCCTATTTGTCAGCAGGGGTCATTACTTCTGGGTAATAAGTGATTATTTCAACATACTAAATCAAATTTCTGGAAGGTAAGTCATTTTAAGTTGAAGTCAAACCATAAATGTAACAGGTGATCTCATGTCAACTTATTTTCCTGCTATTTTGATCTACTATATCTACACCTTTCACTTATTCTGTCGAAACAATTCCTTATTTTCTCAAAATATAGTTTGATCAAAGCAGAGCTATTGCATTTTCATCATCAGATATGAAAAGAAAGTCATTATTTCTAGATAATGTGGCAAAATGCCCTCTTCAAACCTGCCACACTATATGTAGGCAGTACTTTTGAAACTGTTGACATTTCTCTTTAGTATTTCCTGAAAAATCTCACAATTTGTTTCTTATTGTTATTTATTAGGTCTTTAAGCAGTTAAAGAGTGTAGTGTTCACACAAAATACTGTCGTGTAATTGCTCCTGAACAGTTACCTGTTCATAATTTATGTTCTGTCATTCAATAAAGACGTTTTTACAAGCAAGGTGTTATTTGGGGGTGGGGAACTTTGGTCCTTAAAAGCCGGTGCACTACAGCAGAAGAATCACTGGCCATTTGTTCCCTACCAGTGTAGTAATTCACTGCTTCCCATCCAGGGTCCCAGTGGATCCTTAAAAAGTCTATTTTAAAGTTTAGTTTTTGACATTCATGATCTAACAGATCATAAAGGGTCAGTCAGCTATTCAGATGCAGGCCTGGTTAAACAGCACATGTAATCATTGCAGTAAGAGAGTGGATAAACATCAAGCTCAAGCTTATTTTATAGATTTAATCACGTGGATGTGGTGAAATAAAACTTTTATCATTATTTACTGGAATTACCATGTTTGGAAGCAGCTAACTGACATGTAAACAAAGAACAAACCCTGTCAACATGGCAGAAAGGTCTCAT